GAAAGCAAAGTTGTACCACAAAATAAGGACTAAGATTTTAGCTCAGTATCACAAAAATACTTATAGAAAGATAATATTTTTACTTACAGGCAACAGATATTTCAGAACAAAGAGGAAGCAAAGTTGTAGGTCCAGAGGACATATTATTTATTATGCGCAAAGATCCAGTCAAATTGCAACGAATAGTGCACTATATGGGTAAGTATATTAATGGCAAAGTTGAGGTCTAGGTAATTGTTCTATTTTTATGGTCTGTCTGTGCAATGCCATCTTAGATAGATATAGAAGGAAAGTAGACACAAACTTTGTTAATTATCAACAAATGATACTTACTTTATCTTGCCAAGTTGAATGCAAACCTCTAGGTATAGCCTGTAGTTGGTACACTCATAGGGTGTAATGTATATGCAAGGACTTTTTATGGGAAAATACTGAGAAATTGGAGAGGGAGTGTGTTTGACTGTGATTGTGTATGCAGGTGTTTATGTATTTTGTACACATGTATTTGTATGCATATATATTTTCATTTTATTGTAAATAGAGGTATGTGGAATTTGCAGGAGTTCGTGATCTTTACCAGCGTGCACGAACTAGCACTTCAGGTTCATCTGCAAGTGAGCTACAGGAATTAAGCACTGAGGGTGGTGGAGAAATTTCCAGAAAAAAAATATGCACCAATTTTCTTCAAAGTATTGATCAGACTGGACAGTATGAACCTCTCTATTCATCATCCATATTTGATCCAGTCAAGAATGAAAGGGCCCATCGATTGAACGTTATGACACAGGTAAGCTGTTTTAAACATTCAACATAAAAAAAATTCTAAGAGGTGGTTTGGTCGAAATTTACAGCTTTTTGTATATCAAAGAATTATCTTTCTTTTTCTGAGAAGTATATGTATGCATAAGCTATTGCTTTATTTACAAAATTATTAGGAGTTGCCTAATTTTGTGCTTTATTTTTAAATGAATTTTAATAGACATATTGCATAAGAACAAGAAAATAGGTGTTAATGTTGATGGAAAACATGACTTCAAAGTTCTCTAATAATTATTGTTAATAATACTCTTACATTGTGAAATTCATCGGGTTTTCACATTATCCCATTATTGTATACAACTCACTGATCATATTATCAGTATTATTAATAATTTATTCATTTATTATCAAGGGCATGTCAAATCAGAGGTATAAAGAGTACTGTGAGGCTAGAAGAGCTTCATTTTGTCCAAGGCTGAGAGTCAACAAATTCCGAGAATGGCTTCTCCGTGATGACAATAGTGAAGTGAAACTCTCACAGGTAAGCAGTGAGTGTTTCTATATTTTTCTTTCTTGACCTGATGGTGATGGGACCTGATTTATTTGTGATGTAATATTATACAGTAGTCTAGACTTTGTGGCTAGGCACAAGCTGGCCCACCCGCTGCGAGTCATGTTTACATTTCATAGGCTATTACATCATGCCGGCCATAGCTGTAACTGTTGCTGAGGAATTTATTTATTTGTAGGGACATTTACCATGAATTCTTTCCTCAGATCTATTAATTTCTTTTTCCCTTTGTTTAGACGAAAGTGAAATTGATATATATTTCAGTAAACAATGGAATGACATTAACAATTTCATATCACTTTTCAGCTTGTGTTGGAAATGCTAAATCGCTTAGCATATGAAACAGTTGCTCAGATTGTAGATCTTGCTCTTCTAGTGAAGAGAGATGCTATGGGCCGTAATTCTGACCTCTCCCGCTTCCGCACACCTACTGTTCTCAACCCTGACTATCCATGTGTGTTTATTCATCAGGTATAGTGATATTCACACTTACATTTGGGTATGTTGTAATAGCTCATAGACATTGACTATTCATATGGTGCATGTTTGAAAATATGCAGGAATTATATAAATCAAATTGGCAAAATAGTGCTGTGTATTTTCTTTTATTTAAGATAAGTTTTAGAAGCAAGTGGTTACTTTTTATGCTGATATTTTTAGTTTAAAGGTAAACTATTGTAAAAGCATACTTATGTACTTTGAAAACAAACAATTTTTAAAAGAAATTTGGAGGATGAATATTGACAGTGGTCAGTGTGTGGTAAATATGTACAACTACATACAGTTATATAATTATTTAATAAAAGTACATTTAAGGACCCCTTTGTTTGTTTATTTTTGTTTATTTAAGTAGTTTATAAATATACATATGTATTGTTCTTTATTTAGAGCTAGGATTGGAGAAGGCTGTTGTTTTATATTTTGTTTTAGGCGAAACAAACTAAATTCCCAGCACAGTATACACCCATCCAAGAGAAGTTCCACATGCTGCAAAATCTACCTTCCAATGTTAATGCTTATCCCTACTCCAAAAGAGTGGCTCACTGCAGGAGGTAGGATCTGGTGAAGACCACAGTATAGGGATGGACCCCATAACACCTGCAGAGGTGAGGGAAGCAGTCCGAAGGTATTGGGCCAACAACTCCCCACTTTCTCCATTCTCGAAGACAAGATCACCAATTGAGACAAGGCTCCTGGCTGCTTAGAGGTATGGTGTCTTTTTATTCATAGCAATTATCTTGTGTATACATTGTCACAATATGTAATATATTTTGATGTAATGATGTCATGTTCCTTGTAGAAAATTCAGGTTAGGCACAGTGTTATCTTTTATAGTCATGGAAAATGGGTGCATGTATCTTATATAATATGTTGTGTGTCATACTGGACAAAATTTTAAACTGCTTGTAGACAGGTTTCTTGGTTTTCATTGCCATTTTAGGATTCTAAATTGAAAAACTAGTTGCCAAAAGGCTTTTTCAAATACTAAGGCATTATCTGGCATCTAAGAGTTCCCCAGTTACTTAGCTCCATGCAAGAAGACACAGACATTAGTCACAGGTGATTTTCATATTAGACACATGTATGAACAGAGACAACAGGCATTTCTGTAATTATAGCATAGGCAGAGAAGAAATGGTAAAATATATATATAGATAGATAGACATACAGATTAATGCTGTGTTCAGAACTCCTTGTCTTGCTCGTCCAGACAAGCTGTCCAGGACCAGCAGGACAAGTGGCCGCGTTCGGAACCTCCAAGACCTTTTCTGCTCAGAATGCAACAGGCTCGAATGTAAACACTGACGTTTTTATTATACCAGTGTCTTTATTTTACACACTGCATAGATTTTGTAACTCCTTTGATGCATATTCAACTTATTTATTTAACTGACAAACACAAAAATATCCTTTGATAACACCAATAAAGGGTCATAAAATTACCCACCAATATCTTGTGGTTACCTGCAACTGTCAATGTTTACATACAATATCTATTGTTACATCATCTCGTCTGGCTCACCCAGGTTTGCAGGAGGGCGAGTTGGACGACCTAGACTAATTGTCCGGGGCGAGATAGTAGAGGTTCCGAACGGTCAAAACATCTCGTCCAACTGGTCTGGAGGAGCAGGACGAGCAGTTCTGAACACAGCAAGAGATAGATATGCATTTTCTTTCTTACAGTATCTTACAGAGAGGCAGAAAATAAAAGCCAGAACCCAGGCTGATAGTATCAGTGTGAGGAATAAGGGGTCTCCTTGGATACATAACACTTACATATTGCTAAAAAATGAGCTCATTACAAATGTAGGTATTCACTACAACAAATCTGTGGAAAAGGGAACACATAATCTTTGGAAAGTCAATCTCTGCCCTTTGTATCTGCTTAGCTGGTGGTAGTATCCCATGCCCTTGTTCCTTTAGTTGTACAGCATCCAATCACAGGGACCTTGGCTTGCCACTTACTAATTTAGGTTATCATTGGCTCACTCTCACTGTTGGTGCATGTATGCCTTAGATAAATTTGATACATGGTGTATTGGTGTTATTAGTAAATTACATGATAGATGAAAATAACTAATATCAAACTGGTCTTTCCAGGAGATATCAGGCACCCAGAAGACTTGTCATCTGTGTAATAATTTATTAACTATGTAAAATGTTTAGGGTTACAAATAAATTTTAAGTTACACTGTGGTACCTGCATTTTTGGCATTAGCATTTGGATATTGTTTTCATAGTTACATGAAATACAAATAAAACATTTAATTTTGCTCAAAGCTTAGCATGATATAGACCATGAACCTAGCCTCCACATACATATATAGTTTTTAGTAGCATTCACTTAACCATAAATCAAAGTGTTGTCAACAGTTGTCTTATTGTTTTTTTCTGACTAAAGAAACAATAAATATTTTACTTTCTGCAATCTCAATTGTCTGGCTTGACCATACTGTTATTTACTAAACCTAGGGGAGACATTGTATCTGGGTTGCCACATAATGGTTCAGCTAAAATTTCAGGGTTGCTTTCTGCATGTGGTCTGATATATAATTGAGCAACAGGCAAGTGGCAAGTGCATAAAAGATTGATTAAATCTGAATGTAAAGTTTTTTTTTTTTTTTTTGTAAAAAAAGTTTTTTATTAGGTTTAGGAAACTAGATTTTATTTTAACATTGTTTCATTGTAATGATTTAATAAAAATTATTTTGGAAAATATGTTTTTATTATTCTCTCTGAACAAGGTTTCTCTACAGAAAATTTAGTAGATCTACTCCTTTTTCAGTTCACCAAACACTGCTGCTGGGATCTCTCTTTGCTGTGGCATATCTGGAAATGAAAATGAATATGACATTTAAGAAACAAAATTGATATTATGGTATAGAATGTAAACAAATTTTGGGTCATATTACTAAAGTACTCTTGTATATGCTTCAGAGAAATTAAGTACAATATATATAAAATATGAAGAAAATCAACACACTATGACCACAAAATAAAAAGTGAAAAGCGTAGTTGTAAGTCAAAGTAGTAAGTAAGTAAATAAGTAATAATGACAAGAAAATAAATGTGCTAGACATCAAAGGTCATATAGCACTATGGTATTGTATTGTGTTGGGAGGATTTTTAAAGTCTTTATTACAATTAAAATGTTAAGTTTCAACAGTCATTTATTGTATGATAATATAGTAATTTAAGGAGTAGGAGGAGATGGTAGATGGGAGTAGGATAGGTATTGATGAGAAGAGGAAGGGTTAAGGACGATGGGTGATTAGATCAAATGAAAGATATTTATGCGTCTGAGGAAGGAGAATAAATTATCACTAAAAAAGGTGGGAGATTCTGTAAAGATGTCTGACAGGTTGGGGGGTCGGGGAAGATGGGATATGTGAGGAAAAGTAAGGATACAGGCTTCGGTAAAGCGAGGACAGGATATTAGGATATGTGCGACAGAGAGAAAGACATTGCATGTAGGGCATAGAGGTAGGTTAGAGGGATGTGACATGATGAGGTATATGAGTGAGTGATTCTGGTGTGTCCTATTCATAGGCGGGCAAGGGCAGTTTCCCAATGTCTGTTTTGATGATATGGAGCTGACTTGAGGGTTTTATGGTTTGGAGTTTGTTGGTGCACAGACCTGACCAGAAGGATTGCCATCGGTTGTAAAGAAAAGTTTTGAAGTGAGGGTAGTAGTCGGTGGCCGGGATGTGTGAAAAACGGGGTTGGTGCTTTTTCGTTGCCGGGAATCCCTACATGGCTGGGTATCCAGCAAAAATTCACTGTTTTCTGTTGTGTAGAGAGATAGAATAGCTGGTCATGTATTTTATGGGCTATAGGGTTGGTAGGGTGTATGGATTGTATGAATGATATTGAGTTACGTGAGTCAGTGAAGATGGTGAAGGATGAGGAAGAGATGGAAGATATGCATTGTAGAGCAAAGAGGATAGCATATAGTTCTGTTGTAAGGACACTTGATTCAGGTGAAAGAGGAAAGCTGTATGTCTGAGAGGGAAAGACTACGGCAAAACCAGACCTGAGTTGGATTTAGACCCGTCAGTATAGATATGAGTGCTAGAGGAGTGACTAGAGATATGAGCAAGGAAATGTGTGAGAAGGATAGAAGGTGGAATGTTTGACTTTGGTAGATCAGGGCATATGGAGGAGCAATTACAAGAGACTGTTACTAGCCAGGGAGGGAAAGTTTGGGTAGAAAGAGGAAGAATTCGGAGATGAGGAAAGGATGAATGGGAGAGAAGAGCGTCCAGACGAACAGGGAAAGGGACAGGTAGTCGTGGAGAGGAAGATATGATGCGAAGAAGAGGTTAAGGGACAGTTAGTTTGGAGAGTGAAAATTGGTGGAAGCGAGCATAGTTTCTTAGGGACAGAAGAGTGTGGCATCTAGAGAGGGATGGTAGTCCTGATTCAACATATAGGCTCTCAACTGGAGAGGATCGGAAAGCTCCTAGGGTGGATAGGATCAAGGAGAGAGAGAAGAGAGGCAGAGGCAGAAGAATATATATGGCAACTATAGTCAAGGGTGGAGAGGATTGGAGTAATATGGAGATGGAGTGTTTTGCAGTCTGATCCCCAGGATAGGTGGGAGAGGGTTTGTAGTAGTCGGAGGCGATGGCGAGCTTTTTCTTTAATAGAAAGGATATGATCCTGCCAAGATAACTTGGAGTCGAAAATAACTTCAAGAAACTTGCCGGAAGATCGGGATTGGATGGGGGTATCATAAAGGAGGAGTGGAGGTTGGGAGCCTATACGTGAACGAGAGAAAAGGATGGAGAAGGTTTTAGAGGTAGAGAAATGAAAGACATGGTTGGTAGCCCAGGAAGAGATCGATGTTATTGACGACTGGATAAGTTGATCGAGAACTTTTATAGAACGGTCAGAGGCGAAGATGGCTAGATCATCTACATAGAGTGATAAACGGATTTTTGGTGGTAAAGCGGATATCAATCCGTTTACAGCTATGAGGAACAGTGTGGAGCTCAGTACACTGCCTTGTGGGACACCTTCAAACTGAGGAAAGGTCGGGGAAGTGGAAGAGGCAAATCTGACACTGAAGGTGCAGTCAGAGAAGAAGGATTTTATAAAAACACCCATGTTTCCACGTATTCCGTGGAAACATAGCTGTTGCAGTATATGGTGCCGCCACGTAGTATCATATGCTTTTTCGAGATCGAAAAAGACAGCTAATACTGACTCACGGCGTGCAAATGCTGAAGTGATTAGTGTTTCTGCATAGGCTAGTGGGTTAGCTGTACTTTTTCCTCGACGAAATCTGAATTGGTTTGGTGATATTACTTGGTGGTATTCTAGGTACCACATCAATCTGAAATTTATCATTCGTTCCATTAATTTACATAGGCAGCTTGTTAGGGCTATGGGGCGGTAGTCTTGGGGAAGAGTACCTGTTTTGTTAGGTTTCAGGAAAGGTAATACTATGGCTTCTCTCCAGTGGGGAGGAAAGTTTCCAGTCGTCCATATGTTATTGAATATTGAAAGAAGGAAGGATAAGGAAGTAGGAGAAAGGTGTCTTAGCAAGTGCATTATAGATCTCAGAAGAAGAAAAGGGTGCATTATAAAGTTCTGTAGATGATAGGGAGAAGGAGATAGGAGTGCACTCTTTGTCTGATTTTAAGGAAGAGAAATGAGGAGAAAGATGAGAGCCACTACTGACTTGGCTAAAAAAGGCACCAAGTTAAGTAGCTACTTGAAGAGGGTCAGAGATGAGGGATGTTCAAGGGATGGTTATATAGGCTTTATTTAGGACGTTAGTTGTGAAGTATTGGAGCATTTCTGAGGTGGTAGAGAATGATGATGGAGGAAGTTCAAGAGTAGATAGAGAGGTAAAGGTATTCCAGTCTGCTCTGTCAAAGCACCAGCGAGGGGGATTCGGGAGCGGGATATAGGATGTTGAAGAAAGAAGAATTGGGAAGTGATTACTAGAGTGAAAATTGTTTAGGACAGACCAGTGGAAGTCTATATGAAGGATAGGAGAGCAAAGAGAGAGATCTAGGCATGAAAAAGAAAAAGATTGAGCGCGTAGGTCAAAATGAGTGGGACTGTTGGAGTTTAGGAGGATAAGGTCAGTTTTAGCTAGAAATTGTTCTAAGGAGCAACCCCTTGTATTGGTAATAGCGTCACCCCAAAGAGTATGGCGACAGTTAAAGTCTCCAGCTATTAGGAAAGGTGGTTGGAGTTGGGAAAGTAAGGTCTCAAATTCTAGGAAGTCAATAGGGAGGGAAGGGGAGAAGTAGACTGAAATGATTGCGATCCAGCAGCGGAGGAAAATCCGGATAACTGTGCAAGGTATAGGGGTTTGTAAAGGAGGTATGATATATGGTGTTTTATGATGAACAAGTATTGAAGATGCAAATATAGAATGAGGGAGTGACACAAAATGGTAGTTGGGAATTGGTACTGGAGGATGTGTGAGGAAGGTTTCTTGGAGGCAGACGATAGATGGATTGTAAGAGGAGAGAAGATGGCGGAGATTAGGTCTGTGTGAGCGAAAGCTTCTAATGTTTCACTGCAGAAGAGCCATTGTGGATCATTCTTCAACTATTATGGGTGGCAATAAGTGTCTGAGAGGTAAGAGGAGGGGTATCTGGGGGTTGAGGTATGGGATCAGGGGATAGAGGTGGTAGTGTAGTATCAAGAGAATCATCATGGGAAGGGATGTCAGGGGGAGAAGGTGAAGGTATAGAATCTAGAGGTTCATCAAGAAAGGTGGGATCTGGGGAAGGACATTGTGCTAGAAGGGATTCACGTGTGTATCCAGGAGGGAGTGGTAGGGATAGTAGGGAAGGAAGGGTTTTTGGTTTAGGTACGGATGGTGGAGTGGATAGAGTGTGGGAGGAAGAGGGGTAGGGGGGATGTCAGGAGGGGGAGGATGGATTTCGGCAGTCACTGTGAATGCAGCCGGAATCTGGGTAGAGAAATTGATGGATGGTTGAGAAGGAGGGACTTTCTCTTGTGGTATACGTAGAAAGTTTCTTATGTCCTCAAGGGTTTCTGGGGGGGATTTGGGTGGAGAGGTTTGGGAAAAGAAAGATCTTTTATGGGGAGATGAAGAGAAGATCGGTATCTGAGAATTTGAGGGTGTAGGTGTGGGATGGTATCTGGTAGGAGAGGATGGGGTGGGGCATTTGGCTTGTCTGATGCGACTGGCAAAGCGTGAAGTAAGAAGAGACATGGGAGTTGTGGATATTGGAGTATCTGGATTTAGAATGGAAAAAGGATTTGATTGGGGGATATGAGAATTATAGATGGGAAGTTGAGGAGCAGGGGATAGTGGTGCTGTAGATGTATAGACCACTTGGGTAGTATGGATGGGAGTGGTGTGAGGTGAGGTTTTATTGTGGAGGTGTGGGCGATATGGTTGAAGAGTTGTGATAGGGAGGTTTGGGTATAATGTGA